GATGCTGCTTGGCCTGCTGTGTTCATCCGGCTCTACACCTTGTTATCTCTTTATCATAGATTACAAAGGTTTGTTTCCTCTATACAACACTTTGTAAGGTTGACATTTGATTATCATCCCTGCACTCAAATACAAGCAGTCCATAATCTTAAAAGTAGTCAGTAGCAGACGTTTAAAGACAAGCTTATTGAAAAACATGATGAATTTTATTAGAAGAGTGGGAAAAATTCTTTTTCTTCATGTTTCTCTGACTGTCAAGACTTTGGGTGAGGAGGCCCAAAAAAAAACAAAAAGCTTATTCATCAAGGGAATAGTTCCTTAAGTGAACTTCAAACGAAAGTCAATCATCTTAGCAGGAATTCCTCAAAGTCCTAGACCCAGTCATGTTACCAACTGCTTCAATGACTTTCTATTCACCAGAAAAAAATGCTTGCTGATGATTGCATAATGTGCAGCATTATTCAGAACTCCTCACATAATGGAGCAGTCCATGTTCATCTGTAACAAGATGTGAACAACATACAGGCTTGGGCTGACAAGTGGCACAAGACATTCATGCAAACGCAAGGGCAAGACAGAATCTATCCATCACCTGTTGACATCCTATGGCATTATCACTGCTGAATCCTCACGATCATATCCTGGGGGTTAACAGACCAGAAACTAAACTAACTACCGTACAAATACCGTGGCAACAAGGGGAGGTCTGCAACTACAAATTCTGTATGAGTGATTCACCTCATCTCCCCAAATCCTGCCCATCATATACAAGGCACAATGGCACAATTCAAGACGATGATGGAACACTCCCCACTTGCCTGGAACAGTACAGTTCCAACAACACAAGGAGCTTAACCTCACCCAGAACAAAGCAACTTGCTTGACTGGCACTCAATCCACTTCCTTCAAAACTCACTTCCTCTACCGCTGACATACAATGGCAGCTGAATGTTCCATCTACAAGATGCACTGCAATAACTCACCAAGGTTACTTCGCTAGTATGTGACTTCGACCATGTGGAAGGAGGGGGGCAACAAATGCATGGGAAAACTACAACCTGCAAGTTTCCCTGCAAGCCACACACCATCCAATTGTAACAATACTGCCTTTTCTTAAGAGAGTCATGATGTTCAAATCTTGGAATTCCCTTTCTAACAGCACTGCGTTCTCTCGGGTATTAGGGATTGAGGTATAGATGCTGGCCCAGACAGAGATGCCCACTTCGTGTGAATGAAGTGACCTCAGGAATCAAGCAAGGGACGAGTAAGGCCACCAAACAGCCTCACCTGAAGGAATTAAGATCCTGTGGGTGGAAGTCTCACCAAGCAAGAGCTGCCAGCCAACCAGGGGCCTGCAACTCCTGAACTCAGCAGTGTCATGGTACAGCAGTGGCTGTTGCAGGAATAACTGACACCACCAGCCCCCTCCTCTGATGCCTCAGGAGGGGGGAAAATCACAGGGAGAGGAAAGCAGGCAACTGGCTCCCAATGGGCATCCCTTCACCTGAAGTTCAGTTCCTTGATCACGTACTGATTACCTCTGAATGAGGACTAATTGGTGGAAATACAGGAGGTCGATCAAGGGCCTACCCCTTCCGAAGTTAACTCTGGAGGTGAGAAGGGGAGAGGTTTGGATATGCTTCCCATCCTGTCTAAGTCCCTTCCTGCTTCAGTCAGCAGAAAATTCTGCTTTGAAAGAAAGATCAGTAGAGAAGACGAGATACAAATAATAAAACTTTTTTTAAAAAAAAAAGTGATTTGTTTGACTTTCAAATCCCTTCTGGCACCATCCTTTTGCATATCGTTTATTATATTACAATGATAATTGTAATTAGTGATAATTTCTATTAATTAATTAGTTTTATTCAGTGTTGTGACCTGCAAGTGGCATGGTTTCTTTTCCCTACAAACTACTCTATTCATTCAAACTGAGCTAGTGAACAGTCAGAATTAAAATAGATTCAATTTGTATTTCATGGTAGCACCTCCAAATAAGTCTCCTTCACTCATTCTTTTTCCTGCAATTTTAAATTTGAAGATCACAATTGGAAAAGAAACTCTCAAAACACTCTGCTACTAGGACTAAGTGAGGCACAGATTTTTGGTTTTGCTTACCTTTCCTTAGTGTGAATAGAGGAATGCCTGAGAACATCTTTCTTGTACACACTTGTATAATCACATTCTTCACATTTGTATGGTTTTGTTCCCACGTGATTAAACATGTGCTCCTGTTGGACAAGAGGGCGAGGTTATCACAATTAAATAAATGCACCAGAGGAAAAAATAATTGCATCTTATATTCCCTCCCAATTGACTCACTAACATGCAGTCTAACTGTAAATTCATGTTTATAAATTGTGTCCTTTATCCCAGAAGACACAGGATAAAAAGTCGATGTTGATCCTTTAAGTTGAACATACCCATATCCATTGCCTGGGGTGTGCAATCATGTTTTAGTGGGTATGTAGCTGAATGTCAAGGCTGAGCTGCATCCAGGTCTGCTACAAACAGGAAGATACAGCAGACAATGGAGTTGTAGATGATCTGCTGGATCAGGATTTGCTCTCCTTGCATTTTTTTATTATTATCTTTGAGATGCATTTACTTTTGAAGGAAGGTGCACCCTCTAATATTTTGTTGCATCAGCTAAAGTGATCTTGGGCAAAATGCCTCCCAGGATTCAGGGTGGATATCAAAGTGTCCAAGCCTAATACTATCCAAGAGATGGTATTCTCTCTCTGACAGCCATGACAGCACATCCTAGACTTGAGTTTCCCATTGGAAGAAGTAGTATGATAAGCAACTATCAGTCATTCTGGCTACCTGACTAGTTCAACTCAGTTGCAACTGTCAACACAGCTAGGGTGCTGGGAACGTCAGTTCAGTTTACCATCTCAATATCTCGTCTTTTATCCTGCCATCTGACCTTCAGACGCTAAGATTAAGTCCTCAGTCGTAGCAAGGAACCCTCGAGTCTTGGTCAAGGGCTCATCTTCTCGAGAGAAGAGGTTCCTGTGTTACAAATGGCCATGTCAGAAATTGTGATATGGTGGCCCATTAAGGACACATTCCATGAGCTCGGCCATGGTTAGTCATCCACATGAGGGCATTACTGTTCAGGGATACATCAGACTGCAATCTGGGAGTGGAACAGGGTCAATCCTGCAGGACAATTGCAGTCAGTCAGGAGAATTGTTTAGCATCATCCAGGCAGCTGCAAGGAGTGGTCAGGGGTCTGGTCAGTCATTACCTGGGGCTGTCTGTCAAAATTAATCAGAGGGCGAGACAGCAGTCAATCCTGGGTGTCTATACATTTGTGAGGAGGTTTAATGGGAGGATGGGGTGGAGAACGGTGGATACATTAGTGTGGTAGGAGTTTGGCGGGGCGGGGCGGTGGAAATGGAGAGAATGGAATGAAGCCAGAGAACAGTTTGAGTTGTGACAAAGTTAGTGATAGAGGTGGGGAGGTAGTACTGGAGGTAGAAGGCCGGGTTTGGGGTATAAAGCAGTACAGAATCAAAGGGCATGGAAGGCTGTGGGATGGCTGATATTCTCAGAGACAACCACCTTGGCCTCCACAGGAAGAACATACAAGGCTACATTGGGCATTCAGGTGGTAAGGAGTGAAGTACGAGGCAGAATTCAGCACGGTGGGTGCCTACATGGGGACAAAATTGCTGGAAGAAGCTATCTAGGCAGACCAAGGTAAAAGGTGTACATGGACGTTCTGGGGAGGGGTGTTTGATGACCAGACAGAGTCCGGTGCTGAGGGTGTCCACTGCAAGCTGCATTCCCTGCCGTCACTTGCAGGTTGCTTTTAGCAAATGGCAATGTGAAATGCCCAAGACAGCATCCAGGATGGGCAGAGTCAGTGTCAGTTTGGCATGCAAAAGAACAAAGCTTCACCTCTGCTGGATGGAAGGCCATCAAAGTCAAATGCATCATTCATTTGTAGAATACTGCTACATTCCATTTGCAGTCATATCATTGCAGATGTAAACTGCAAGTAGTATACTAAGTATTTGGGGTCCAAAAACTTATCAACAGTGATGACCACGACGTCATTTGTCCTTGTAAGTTGTACATAACTCAATGAAGAAGTTACTGCCAACTTGAAAAACAGCAGTTACAACCACACCATTCTACTGCCACTTCTAAGGGCGTTACTGAGCACACAGCAAATTTATTTTCTATGCAAGTTCTTTGCTGTCTTGTAGAATCATAGATATATCCATGTTTTGGACATTAACAGACCAAAAAATATCAAAACATGTGTAATCTACCGATATTAACACAAAACAAAACTGAGTGTAGGAAGAATGTGTAGGCGATATAAACATTTTTCATCATGTTTACTGACCCACTCACTATATTGTCCAATAGTTCTTTAAAGATTGAACTGGAGAGGTACAGCAATGTTACAGAGCTAGCACATGACATATTAGACATAATGTTTTAATATTTTGTTTTATAGTCTTGGCTACCAAATTGATAGAAGAAGAAAAACAAGTCACAGAAAGATGTATTGAAGAACAAAAGAACCAAAGGATTTAAGTGGAAAAAATTTGGGGAGAAAAGACAAGTAATAGCCAAATTTTGGTTTGCTTGACTTATTTTCTTAACCCTAACAGAAGTGGAGATACCACAGTTTAAGAAAGAGGTATCACTGACCTTCAGAGATGACCAGCGCTTGCACCGATAGCTGCACTGCATGCACTTGAAGCGTTCTGGATCATTCCCCTCATGCGAGTCAATATGAAATCTTAAGTCTTCCTGCGTCAAGAAACGGGAGCCACAGATTCGACAGTGGTGAGGCCTCATCAAGGGCTTGCTGGATCTATAGTAATTGTACCTTTGGACACATACCAGTTGAGTCAGATTTTAAGAATTTTCTAAACTTATTTATTAAGCATAATTATTCATTTAGTACCAATCTGGAAAAATAGATACAAAAATTTTACATTCAGTGCTGCATTTTGCACATTTCAACATGATTATAGCAACTGAATATTGAAACTAAAACTGGAAACTGGATATAGTGAGACAAGAATGTACTGGAGAAGGGAAGCAAACTAAGGAATTCTGTCAGTCAAAAATGCCAGCCTTTACCAACAAGATCATCAAATGACAGCAGTGTTGAGGAATCTTTGGATAATGGAGAGAACAGAGTAACTTCACCCATACTAGTTTGTAGAAGTGTGCTCACGTTAAATGTGAACAAGGGGGAAGCTGCCATAAAGGAGTACCTAGATGGAAGGAATCTCCAGTCATGACTTTTACAAAGTTCTTCTCCAGTCTGAAGGAAAGGGACACTGCTGGGACAATTAAAACCGAAAGAACTGCAGATGCTGTAAATCAGGAACAAAAACAAAATTGCTGGAAAAGCTGAGCAGGTTTGGCAGCATCTGTGAAGGAAAAAACAGGGGTAATGTTTCGGGGCCGGTGACCCTTCCTCAGAACAGTTCTGAGGAAGGGTCACCACAGGACCCGAAACGTTAACTGTGTTGTTGTTGTTGGGACAATTGCTTGGTAGCAGAACTTCCGTCCCCAGTATGAAACAGACATGTTACAACTCTCAGATGCATTACATTTCAACTGTTGTCTTTGTTGATTTAACAGGTTTTAAAAACATTGGTATGTTTGTTTTTTTTTGGGGGTGGAGGGTGGTTTGGGCAGGGATTATTGTCATCGAACTCAGACATGCCAGATACAGTACTTGCAGAAAGATGATGATGATCACTTATCCGGTATTACTGAGCCTCATTCAAGTTCGTAGCATGACAGATACTGAAATAAAAGTGCAGGTATTGATACCAAATAGCATCAACTAATTCCACTCGTATGGGTAAGATGCTGTTAAGGAGGCATTCTTTTTTAAAAAAAAAAGTTTAAACATCAGGTTAACAACTTGAGCAATCAACTAGGTTACCTGCGCCCCAAATAGCCTCTGTACTTCCTCCTGCCAAACCTCTTGGGTGGGCGACCACGTCGCCTCGAATGCTTGTAAGATATCTCGTTGGTATTTGATGATGGGTCTTTGTTCTCAGAATCTGATTGGCTAATCCCTGACTCAGCTACTATCTCATTGCCTGCTGAGACATCCCCATTCTCTTGTGCAGTTGAACTAGCTGCTTCAGAGCTCTGGAGGTCCAATGGGTTCGACTGGGAGGTGACAAGTGCTTCGACCTCTGCTCCTGTTTCACGACAAGACAATGGGTGGAGATATTAACAAATCAGTGCTTGAACTAAAAAACAAACTCAATTAAAATGGTGGATTTTGGGGAGGAAAACTTAAAATACTTAGCATCTATAGAGAGAAAAACAGAAAACCAAAAGTTAATGCTTCAAATCTGTGGCCTTTCAAAGTTTAGACCTGATATTTGAAACATTTGCACTCTCCCCAAGAGTATTTCGTTTTTATTTCAGCACCTCGTTTCCAGCACCAGCAATAATTTACTTTTGGTTATTTTGAGGAGGCCCTTTAAATGTAGGAATGGACGTCACAAAAAAGGAAAGCTTCAGAAGAGATTGGCAAGAAATAAGGTACAATAGCTGAAGGCTGTATTACACACAAAGCAGCTGAGCAAAGGAAACTGATGCATGAACCAGAGTTAGAGAGCCTGGGATATAATGCTAGACGGGTTTACACAAGGGTGATTAAAAAAGGACAAGCGTTTTATAATCATTGTCCTACCAGCCATTCAAGCTTTTTAAAACACAACTTGGGGCGGGGTGGGGGAGCAGAGAAGAGCAGGCAAGTATAACTTAATACAGCAATAAATGCTGGCAACACAGTCTCACATGAGTGAGAGTTGTAGAAGGAATTCAGAAGACAACATGGAGAGCACTGAATGGATGTGCAAGCCAAGGTTCAATAGTAGCACCTCAGTCAGAGGGAAGACGATGGGTTCAAACCTCACTTCAAAGACTTAAGCTGACACTCTTTGTAATTCAAAACGTATGTGGAGAATGCTGCAGGCAGGATTGTATACTATGCAGTACAGACCTCATTATTCAGTGATCAGGAAATCGATTCTTCCCTTTAATGGATGTACAAGAACTGTGCAAAGAGATAGCACACAAGTTCTACTGTGTCCTGACCAATATTTTGCATTAAATCAACATTCCATTAACAGTGCAACTGATCAGCAATATTTCATTGGCTGTGAAGCACTTGAGATGTCATAAAGATGCAATATAAATGCACATTTAATCCAACCTAGTTTTACATTTATGGCTTTGTTTGGCTCTAGTATGTTTCAAAGGCAACACTGAGTCAAATATAGATGGTATCTATAATGGATTAGGTGTAGAGCTTGAATCACAGCAAGAATCAAACATAACATTAAGGCTGCACATGGGTTACCAATGAGAAATTGCAATGGGGAATGGTATAAGGTATGGCGTACAAGACTAAAATGTGAAGCCTTTAAACAGCAGAAACTGATCAGGATGGTTCTGCTGTTGATGCTCTAAGTTGGTGAAATGTTTGGATTGTGCATGATTTGATGTCTTTGCAACCGTAGCACTCCAGTTTAGCCTTATGTTCCTCTTCAAAGTAATTGATGTTACCACTTCTGAAGTTCATGTCAATCTTTTCTAACTTCATGCTTGAAGCTCTCCAACAGGTTTTCAATCCTGACAGACCTTTGAAATGGCCCTAATTGAAAATTACAATTACCCTGTAATCTTCCTTGAGTTGTTAACAACAGTGAACTATCACTCTTCAACTTCAACCGGTCACCAGCTTCTGACATTGTGGGCCATCACCCCCAATTTGTCTGCACCATTGTCCAGTTAATTGGGATTCTGTTCACTTCTTTCATACTTACCCAGTCCACTTCCAGAGAATCTTCCCTTCCGATTTCCAAAATCTACTTCATTTCCGAGGTCTATCCTTAGCCACGCATTTATTTCTTAAATATGTACTGCCCTTTAAAAATCTCACACAGTTCCATTTGTTTGCTGAACACCCAAAATTCTACTCCATCATCATTTCTCTCAACACCATAATCATCTACACTGCCAATCAGTAATGTGTGACAATGCTATCATTTTAAAAAGGTTATTTTGTCATAAGTTTTTTTGAAGAGAGGTTGTAAAAGCAGAGGCACCAAACTGGCTACTGAAGATGGCTTAAGCAAACAAGTTAAAATGCCTTTAAGTTTTCTAAAAAAAAAGAGTTGAACAATGGAAGCAGCTTGAGTGGGAGTGGCCAGCTCTCAGACCAGGTTCTCTCTTCTTTAAAAAAAGCTGTAGCAGTCAGAAGCTGTTGTTTGGGGTCTCAGAAGAGTTGGAAGCTTCAGAAAATTAATCCTAGCTGCTGCTTTCTGAAATCTCTCCCGATATTGTTTCTTCCTGGAGTAAGAATCTGTGTCTGAATGTGTCTTTTTGTCAAGTGGTGTGTTTATGGCGTATTACTAAATTGGAACAATTAATTAGTAATAGGTACTGTATCTATTATTCGGTTAAGTTTTCCAATAGTTAAGTTGTTCTCAATTGCTTTTTGTTTGCATTTTAACTGTAGTGTTTAAATAAGTTGTGTTTTGCTTAACATTGATTCAACGACTCAGTCACATCACATCTGGAACATGCACTTCACATCTACCATTAAAATAAGAAAATGTTAGGGTTTGACCTGCCGCTAACACATTTTGAGGGGCTTTGGTCTGGTCCATAACAAATCAAAGAGCTGAAGATAACCTGAGCAACATATCTGATCCTGAGCTGAGCATCCAGCAATAAAGACTCTGTACTTTGTAATAACCACTTATCCCTACTACTCCCTCAACCAGTTTGCTTTCACATAGTCATAATTCACTTTCCATTTTGTACCCTCCATTAATTTGAACTCATTCTGCCATTTATATCTTCAGGGCACGGACACAGGCCCCAACCTTCGGTTATCCTTACCTGGTCTGGCCTACACAACTCCAGACCCACAACAATGTGGTTGACGCCTAACTGTCCTCTGAGCAATTGGAGATGAGAAATAAGTGCTGGACTGGCGAGTGATGCCAACATCCCATGAATTAATTTAAAAAAGAAACATAAATAAATTTTACCATCAATCCCAGGCATTGCCTCTGTCCGCAAAACTTTGCGAGGTCTCCCAGGTCGTCTCCGAGGCCGGTCACTGGTCGAAGTAGTGACGTTGCGATTGTAGTTTGGCTGCCTTCCTCGAGTCTCATCTTCTGCTGGGTTATAATCACTATCAGCTAAAGGAACACATGAACATTTAATTGACATCCTTTCATGGTTCTTCCTGACAAAATTGAAAATTTCATATTCTTCACATTGGAATACAATTGCCATATCTTTGCCAACTGAACCTTTCCATATCCTTTGCAGCTTCCTTATAGTGTTCTTCATGATTTGACTTTCTTATTTTTGTGTCATCAGCAAATTTTAACAACCATATGTTTAGTTCCTTCATCCATGTAATTTGTATAGGCTGTAAAATGTTGAGGCCCTGACACTGATCCTGATGGCACACTTGTTACAGCCTGCTGATCTAATAAGGTCCTGTGTTTACTCTTAGCTGTCCATTTTTTATTTATGCCAACATGTTACACCTTACATGAGCTTTCAGTGACTTTGATATGGCTCCTTACCAAGTGTCTTCTAGAAATCCGAGCACAATGTATTCATTGGTTTTCTTTTATCTACGACATTAATTCTTCAAAAAAGGTTTTAAATATGATTTCCCTTTCTTACAACCATACTGACTGTGCTCGATGGCTTTGAATTTCTCCCCCACATTCAGTGCTAAGAACGTCTTTAAATGATAGGAAATAACTATGACAAATGTTAAGCTAACTGGCCTGTAGTTTTGTAGTTTCTGTAGTGAGAAGACCTTATCCTCAGGCATGTGACTACATTCTGGAATAAAGTCTCCAGGCAATATTCACCTTCTCCTGTCAGTGTCTGCAATTAAGTCTTCAACTCAAACTCTGAACTGAAGCTAATCGAATGTATCTGCTCTGGATCACACGTGCATCTAGGAGATGCCACAAGCTGCAGCTGTGGCATATCACTATTATGTCATCCTTAATGAGTTCTAATTACTTTATTCTGTCAATTGTTTCTTTTCCTTTTCTACATATTTTGTTAACTTTAACATCAGCTTCTGTCCTATTTTGAATCTTAGCTGTTGGGTGAATATCTGATAACTCTCCTGTAGTAGAGAAAGAACTAATTCCAAGAGGTGAAAATATAGGAAGAGCAAAGTAAAAAGAGCATTTCCTTCCGCTCCTCACCCAACTCGCTCGCTTTCCCAACCCTTAGTACTATCTGCTTCTTCAAACAGAGTGCGAAGTCACACTCTGATTCCTCTATTCATATGTTCTGAAAAAGAAACGCACTCAGTCCCAGGTACAGAAAGATAGTTTGAGCTGGATTACTTAAAAAAAAAAACTTCACCTGCTTTCAAGCAGAGAGACATTGTGTATCCCTGCTTAAACATTGAAGAAATTTAGACTTTAATCAGTAAGTCACAGTCGAACATTAAATACGAAGTACAAACAAAATTAATCCTTTTAGGAAGGGATTAAGAACACATCCACCAAACTCTCAGTCCTCTGTTCAAAGAAATCATTTTCTAGAACAGAGCAGTCAATTTATCAGATTGAAGGTGCAAAGCAGCAAAACGTTCTTAAAACTGATCAAGTGATGCTTTTGCTTTTCAATCAGTGGATCACAAAAATATAAAGTTTTTGCTAAACGTTGAAAATTTACTTTGCAGGATAGAAAATGCTCAGCAGGTCCAGCAACATCATGAGAGAGAAAGAGAGTTAACATTTCAGGACTATGACCTTTTATCAAAACAGGAAGAAGTTAGAATTAAGGTTCTAGAATGTTACTCTATTTCTCTACTCACAGATGCTGACAGACCTGAAATTTACAACATGTTCTGTTTTTATTTCAGATTTCCAGCATCTGCAGTATTTTACTTTTGTACATACTACAGGATTCCATGCTTCATGAATGTCACATTGGGGCAGTGTAACCTGCAAAAAAGTTTAATCAACTTTCAAAACTCGTCCACCTAGTTTGTCATGTGGAACCCAAATATCTCAGCACACAAGTTCAGATCAATGTCCGTACTAACTTCAGAGAGGAACCAACTTGAACAAACCAGCAATTTGCAAAATCACTCCCTCCCACTATAGTACCATGCCGACTCCTAACCACACTGCCTGTCGGTTGTTTCTAAGGAGGAATTCACAAGATCCAAAACATCAGTGTGGAACTTCTCTAATTGCAACATTGAACATAACTGCAACAATTTCAGAATCCTGAATAGTTCACCTACACTGATTGTTATGGGCCTCATTTACTACTGCTTGTCTCAGTACAATGGAGAGACTGATATGTTTTTTTGTTAAAAAGTAGGAGCAAATTACTGCAGATGCTGGAATCTGTACTTGAGAGAAAAAGTGCTGGAAATCACAGCAGGTCACGCAACATCCATGGAGAGACAGCAAGCTAACGTTTCCAGTCTAGATGATGTTTCATCAGAACCGATGTGAAGTGTGGAGGGGACAGTATTTGTGCAACAGTGTAGGGGCAGGGGGTGTGGGGTGCTGGGGGAGAAGGTGGTGACACTGGCAGATTAAGCGACTGACAGAACCATGTTGTTTCAGAGATAGTAGGAACTGCAGCTGCTGGAGAATCTGGAGATAACCAGGTGTAGAGCTGGATGAACACAGCAGGCCAAGCAGCATCAGAGGAGCAGGAA